AGGCAGTTGTAGAGAGCGATAAGGTCTCCCCTCAGCCTCCTCTTCTCCACACTAAACAATCCCAGTTCCCTCAGCCGCTCCTCACAAGACTTGTGCTCTACACCCTTTAACAGCTTCACTGCCCTTCTCTGGACACGCTCCAACACCTCAATGTCTTTCTGGTACTGAGGGGCCCAAAACTGGACACAGTATTCCAGGCGCAGCCTTGCCAGTGCCGAGTACAGGGGGACAATCACCTCCCTGCTCCTGCTGGCCACACTGTTCCTGATAGAAGCCAGGATGCTGTTGGCCTTCTTGGCCACCTGGGCACACTGCTGGCTCATGTTCAGCCAGCTGTCGACCAACACCCCAGGTCCTTTTCCACCGGGCAGCTTTCCAGCCACTCTTCCCCAAGCCTGTAGCGTTGCATGGGGTTGTTGTGACCCAAGTGCAGGACCTGGCACTTGGCCTTGTTGAACCTCATTCAGCTGGCCTTGGCCCATTGATCCAGCCTGTCCAGATCCCTCTGCAGGGCCATCTTACCCTTGAGCATCGACATTCCCACCCAGCTTGGTGTCACCCTGTCCAGATCCCTCTGCAGGGCCATCCTACCCTTGAGCATCGACATTCCCACCCAGCTTGGTGTCATCTGCCAACGTACTGAGGGTGCACTCAATCCCCTCATCCAGATCGTTGATAAAGATATTAAACAAGACTGGCCCCAAAACATAGCCCCGGGGAACGCCGCTCATGACTGGTCGCCAACTGGACTTAACTCCATTCACCACTACTCTCTGGGCTCGGCCTCTCCACCAGTTTTTTACCCAGCGAAGACTATGCCCGTCCAAGCCATGAGCTGCCAGCTTCCCAAGGAGAATATTGTGGGAGACTGTGTCAAAGGCTTTGCTGAAGTCCAGGTAGACAAAATGTAAATGGAGTTAGAAAGATCAAACAAAAGGCCTGTTCCCCAGCTGAGAACCAGCTCCTTGGGCCCAAGGAGCTATTTAAGCTTGGCTCAGGAGTGCTCTGCTGCATCATTTTCGGAAGAGTGGGCTGTGGGTATGATGTTTTGCATCTTTTGCAAGAACATGAGCAAATGAAAAGGCGGGGGGGGGAAGCTTCCTACACTTTGCTGTATGAATTTCCCTAAAGAGAGCACTCACCATATTGACTAAAAATACAGTGTAAAATGCAATGCTCTGTATTAGTATCACAACCATACTAGCTGTCAGAGTTACGGACCAGCACCAGCTTGTGCTGTGTTCTCTTGAGCACCTCTTTCCTTCCTGTTGCCCTTTGTAACCAGCAGCTATGGGACCTGGCTGTGGCTACAGCGACTCAGTCCCCGCAGACTGGCCCTCAGTGATACACCTCAAAGCTTGATAGGAACTGAATATTTTGAGAAGGAACTCAGTGAACATAGCTTTTGCATTTCCCAGGGTTTATGGCAGTGAGGTCAGTTTGCTAACAGTTTACAATACCACATCTCTAAGAGATATGCTAACGCTTCATGAAATTTAAATGTTACTGTTGATCTATTCCATACTATAAACCCCCAGTTAAATTTATGAAGTGACAATCAGAGGGTTTTTCAGTCTTAATGTAAGTGAATTACCACATGCCTATGAATAAACAAGCAGCATGGATTTGGTTCCATACTAACACCAGCTTTGCTGTGAGCCCAGGCAGCAGAGAACTGTCTTGCTTCTGCTCCCTGCAATGTGTATCTGTTAATACACCTCTTCAAGCACACTGCACAGCACAGCCAGTGGCACAGGCATTCTGGGTAGCACCCTGGGGCAAAGCAAACACTGGGAAGGCCACACAATAACAAAACAGTCACCCAAAAGTGCATCTTCCCCAATAAAGGTGTTTAGACTCTATCACCCACAATTTAAGCCTGTCAACAGCACTGGCTGTGCAGAGGGAAGGGCCGTAGGTACCAAAGAGTGCTAATGAGCCATTTGGACTACCAGCTGAATTTTTCGTTAGCAATATTTCCATTTGCAAATTCTTTAAGATGATTCACAACTACTTCACTGGCTTTCTATTTCTTGTTTCATGTTCCACTTAACAAACTGCACCTGTCTTGCAATCCCTACAAGTAGCCCTGATGCCAGTAATGTTATTCTGGCGGCTGAGGTTTTAGGTTCTTAACCTACTTAAAAATAATTCATTATTAACATTTGGGAAAGAATATCATAGAATCATTTAGGTTGGAAAAGATCTTTTAAGATCATATTCTAAAGAATATCATCCAGTCCAACCATTAACCTAACATTACCAAGTCAATCAGAGAGACATTTCCTGGTAGGTTACGTGTAAGTGCTGCCACCAACTATGAGCATCACTGAGGCTTTCTAATTTTACTAAGTAACCAGCCAGTTGTTGGGACTCACATCTCAGTGGATATTTAATTAATTTCTAGAAACAGACAGTTCTGGAAACATTAATGATATCTGTCACAGAGACATCACGATTTCTGAAAAGCATATACCTGTTCCAAAATGGTGTTGATTCTGTCTACTTCACAGTCAATTAAGTATCTTTTTTCTTGCCGCCTGTCCATCTCCTCTATAATTCTTCTGAACTCTTGAACATCCTTTATGCTTCCTACAGATCTGGCTGTCACTTGCCAGTTGTTCTGTACTGCTGCTTCCATGATCGCCTGAAGAATGGAAAATCCTGTAGGGGGAAGAGGCAATGCAAGCATTTAAAAACAGAACAAAAATAAAAACTATTTTTAATGTTTGACAAAGGGTTCACAAAAACTTGCATCATCTAAAGGGACACAGACTAGCTAATAGCCTGCAAGTGCTTCATTACTTGAGAAAGCAACAGTGTAGGGACCAGTTTCTTCTTTCAGCTCTGCCACTGCCAAAGTCACTGACTTCAGCAGAATTGCTTGGCGGTGTATTACTGTTGAGGCGTATCAGAATCTGTCCAATATATCATATTATGATCCTCTCAGGGATGTTTATGGTCGTGCTGGGGTCTGCGCCAGCTGAGAATAGGAGCCTGCAGCCATTACTTGGGCAAAAGTCCATCAGCTTGAAGAGCCGGACAGAAGGGGTAATTTGCCTGTGCAGACTGCAGCAATGGGTCATTAACTGGCAAAGATCCAAGCACTGCACAAGAATGCCAATTAAGTCATTGTACTGGTTATTGGAGCCACGAACCACAGGAGAGTATTTTACTGATACTCACTTTGATTTCAGAAAATGTTTTTAAATATGGAGTCTAGCAGCATCAAGCACACTTGCAATGCTTTCATTAAGGTAATACCAGCTCATTTAGCAGCGTCAACAGAGGAGAGAAGCAGCACAGAATGGCCAAAGACTGCACAGTGGGAAATTACACAAGCAAACAGCATTTCATTTCTTGTGAACAGCCGTGCCTCGGCGGCAGACAGAACTCAAGTCAAGTCCGTAAGTGAAAGGTGGTAGAACTGGGAATGGTAACAAGTCATGCTATGTCGGAGTCATCAGACATTGATTTGCATACCTTTACTACAGTATGTAGCTGGGAATTTGGTGAATTACCTGCTTTCATTCAGGAAATTAAAACTTTTGCATAGTTCTAATTGTTTCAAATCTGGGCGGATGCCAATCGGAGACAGAGGTCATCTACTTCAGGTGCACACAGTGGTTTCCAGTGGAGTTACTTTGGTTTCCAGTGGAGTTACTTTGTACAGAAGCATCCATGTGAGCTGTGTTTCTGTCCAGATAATTTATTTGCAAAACTTTCAGTCCAATCATTTAGTCATACTGTGGATTTCTTATCCACAGCCAGATTTGAGAAGCTCAGAATTTCTCCACACACTCAAACACATAAACATACAGGATCAACAATCAATTAACTGTGCTCTGTGATAACAAGTCCCCTATGCTTCTGAAACTGAAAGGAGTTTGAGCTACAGAGGAACACCATGTTCACTGCTTCAAATTATGCCAATAGCTATTCTGAACTCAGATATCATTGTAGGGGCATACCGATAACAAAGAACTTGCGCTGCAGTCTGATCTTCCGTAGCCTGCTGTAAATCTGTAGTGGCTGTCTGAAGCCAGAGGAGCTGCATCATTACCTCATTACAGACACAAACAAGGAAAGAGTGTGATTTTCTAGATTGCAGTTAGATTATTATAATTTACCATGTGACTTCCTCAAGTCTCAATGTCCTCACTTTCCCTGTGCAGCCTCCTTGATTCTTAATGCTTTTCTTTGTATGAATGCACTTTACTATCCCATGAAAGGTGGTGACAATTAATATGTACGCTGGTTGGGAATTTTTCTGGCATCTTCTTTCCCCTGAGACTACTGAAAGGGAGGCATTTACATATGTATAGTACAATGAACTCAGTCTTCCTTAACATCATATTTTACAAAAATGGCTGTGATGTCTGTGACAGCATTGTGATTCCATTACATGTAGGAGGAAGATCTAAGCGTAAGATATTTGGTTGGCTGCAAACGAGGAATTTTGATGTGGGAACATAAATACACTAATGGGGATTTACAAATGCTTTGCGTACAAAGATGTGCTTTTAAAAAAATACGATTCCACTAAGTAATGAATATTTACAACTTTGTTTCATCATTCATATAATGTCTAAGTATGAACCTTGAGCTTGCTGTAAACGGAAAACAGTCCATGAGTCTATTTTTTTCACTCCAAATTGAACAAAATAGTTCAGCATATCATAAAAAAATGACACTTTAAAAAAACCTGTAGCTCTATTTTTTGCTAATAACACATACAAAATTTACGAATTGTCTCGAGGAAAGAAGTGAAAATGAACATGCCGGAGAGCAGATGCCATTGGTTGACTGCCACGCACCCAGTTTCAGCTAACGCTGTTTGAGTCAGAGCTCGCTTTGTCAAACCTTGAATATCTCAGAAGAAATCTGGGCAATTTTCCTAATTTTGTGCAATTGCATGTTTGTGTGGGTGTGAGTGTGTGTGTTTTTACATGCATGTATATTAGTCAGTGATTACCACTTCAAGAAAGAGAAGAGCAAGGTCACTCAGCAGCCTTTCTCCTATGCATGAAAATACAATTACGGTAACCTTTAGTGTGAAAAAGTTCCAGAGCTTCAGCATTTCTGTCTTCTCTACCTCCTGTTTCTCCTTGTCACACCAAGTCTTTACAGACACAGTCCCCTCTACCCTTGCCAGTTCTAGAAATCCTCCCTATGGTCACCGTCTGTGCCGCGCCAGCTCGCCTCTCTTGGGCTTTCTCCCTCTCCCGTCCTCGCTTCAAGAAGCACCATTTGCCCTTCCTGCGACGGCTCATTAGGCCAGTCCTCTGACAACCTTTACAAAGCCCATTCCCCTTGCTTTACAAAAGCGTGGCTCAAACCTCCTGCTTTCAGGAAGGCAGCACGCTCACGTCGTCGCAAACACGTGCTCACTGTTCCCAACCTCCGATCTCTCTCCGTGCCTGTTGCCTTCAGCGCCATTGACTACATTTTACGTTGTTACTCGTTACGTGCTATTTCTGTAAACAACATGTTCCAGGCTCCAGCTGTACTTTACCATTAAGAGAGCTGTTACATAAGCAGTGTAATTGTTTAAATAAAAGGACCACTTTATCTTCAAATGTGAACTTTTCTTTCTCCTTAGCATAACAATGCGAGCTGTGACATTTCGGGGGTACTGCCTGGGTAACAAAGGGAGAATTATTTGCCCTGTTCTGTGCACGTCCGTGACCAGACCTGTACACCGAGCTTTTCCACTCCCTACCCTCCAGTAAACACGCCGTGTGAATGCTTCTCAAGAGATGCTTGCCCCTGAGCGCCCCGGAGGTGCCGAGCTCTCATGGGTGCCTCTCATCTCATTCACCCTAAAGGAAACCAGCCAGCCACGGCAACTCTGTTTTGTAGTTTTTCTATGGTCTGCATCAGATCTCTCCCAAAAGACTAAAGGACTGATAATTCACCACAGGTCTGTGAAGAAGCCATGCAGGAAAGGCTTTCATTAATACTGCTGCTGGTTTGTAACACATCAACCGACAAAGCCAAAAAATATTAGCTAAGACAAGAAAAAGTGACATGCTCCTAGAAGATGACAGCAATGAGATCATCTCAAAACAGGTTCATAATACCATTACTAAAATTCAGAGGTTGTTCATTCTATAGTCATTAACACAAATACAGACAACAGGAAAACTTCACTCAGACCCCAATCTGATCTTTCAACCTCTTTTTTCTTAGTTGTACCTTGGACGTGAAGAAGCAGCAGGATGGACGGCATGCGTTTTTCTGGAAGCACTGCTTCTGAGGCTAGCTCGTCTGATGGCACCACATCCCTTCACTGCACTACGTTATTAACATGTTGGCATTACTGATTTACAAATATGTCTGGTCACACAACGGCGATGTCCATACTTGCCAGGTCATGGAACAGACCCATATTATGTTTTGGTCCCTTTTAGCCGTGTACTGGGGAGGGGTTGCTCCAGTGATCTTTCTGCAATCTCAAAAGTCACTCTGATCTGCACCTACTAAAAGCTTAGACAAACCTGGCCTTCATATTCAAATGTGTCATTGACTGGCTTACTCTTAAAATATTGATGATTTAAAAGAGCTAACCCTCATCTAAACGGTCTGCAAAATGATCGGGCTGGAGGTAGATACAGTAATAAAACTAGAACAAAACAAGCGCCCAGCTTACCTCTCAGTGAGCTGAAGCAAGTATTTTGAGTTTTGCTGACTGAAGCTTGCAAAGAGGGGAAATATTCAACACAAATTTCCCTCAAAGCAGGGAAAATATTACTTGTTGCAATGCTGTCTCTGTACTTTAAACAACCCAGACAGAATTACATTCTAGGCAGTCCTCCCTGCAGCTGGAGTAAGACACAAATTCAGCCAGTATCTTCACACTTCTGCCAGGGAAGCAAAGCCTGTACCTCAGTCTTTCAGATCATTCCTTCGATACAAGCATCTCCTAACTGACCCTGCTAACACAGGTGACGAGGACATTTCACTCTTTTGCATCTACAAAAGCTCATGAAACTTTTCCCACATCCACGTAAGCAAAATTCAGCTGAGCAGTTTGCTCAGCCATATGAAATTCTATGTACTACATTATTGAACTTACTCTTTTTTAAATAGGAGCAATCATTAACATGTCATGAGTAAATGACCACACTGGAACATCTGTAGCATCACGTGATGTAACGTGTAGCATCACGTGATTACCACTTATGTAAATCAGTGTTTTCCTGAATGTTCCTGGTAAGATCTTGGACCTTAGCCTCCTATTAGAAATGAAAGCATTTGCTTGCAGTGCTTCTTTCTTTTGCCTTCCTGAGTACCAAAGATCTTTGAGGGGCATATTTTCCTGGCATGCAGCATGCCTGCACCAGCTGAATGAACATCATCTCTGATGTGAATATTTGTGTTTTGAACTATGTATCTGGGCCACGATATGAAGAACTAAGCTTCTGGCCTGTGAGTGAACTTCAGGGATTTAAGTGTGGAGCTGTGTTTGACAAGGGCACAATGAACTTACCACAAAGGAGGCCATCAAGGCAAGCGCTTCCCCAAGACAAATACAAATCCTATGAGCCAGCTTACATTTCAAGCATACCAGAGGTCTGTAAATTGAGATATACTTAGATATTCTGTGTGTTTGGCACTGAGCTTAGTGCTAATTTAAAAGCAAACAGATCAACATGTCAGGC